AACAGGGCAGCAGTTCTACTTTGGTCATGGCCGCGCCACCAACCACCACCAAGCGTTCGTCCACTACAAGGTGCCACGAGTCTGCGGTGCGGCAACTGGTCCTGCATGCCTTTGTAGCTCGCAGCAGCCCAAGGGCACTTGGACGCCATGGTGTGTCTGGCTCAAATGTACCGCGATGGTCGTGTTGTCGAGAGCGACCACGAAGCCGCGACGCAGTGGTGCACCCGCGCCGCCAGTCTCGGGTCCGTCGAAGCCACGTTTGCGCTGGGGGACCTCCTCGTATGTGCAGGATGCTTTTTACAAGTGCGCAAGAATGGGCTTAGGTGCAAAAGGCGCGTCTTGTCTCCCACGTGGCGCGACGCCAAGAGACGTATGCACTGGCGATGGTGCGACTCACGCAAGCTGCCGACCAAGGCCACCGAGACGCACAGTACGCTGCCGGTGCCACATGCCACGTCCCAAGTCGCTCGCTTGAACGTCAATGTAGGACACTTGTACGAAATCGGCGCGGTCGGCGCGGTTCAATGGCAGTTGGCCAAAGACTCGTACCTCAAAGCGAGTGACCAAGGCCACAGTAAGGCACAGGAAGCCTTGGGGCGTCTCTACTACCACGGGCATGGCGTCGAGATGGACAAGACCCAAGCCGGCCACTACTTTCAGCTGGCGACGCAGGTGATCGATATGCCAGAACGCTTACTCTCAACTGGCTGCACACTGCATTAGAGCGATCCGAGCTTGCCGGACGCGTGGTATTTGCTGGGCTTGATTTATGCCAATGGCGACGAAGTGCCCGTGGACCAGCCTCGTGCAAAGCGATGCTTTATCAAGGTACATACCTCCTCTCTACGACAACGTAGTGCATCATTTAGGCTGTGATGTAGGCAGCCATGCTTCAGCACACTGACGCACCAATCGAACTTGCTGCCATGCTGCTGACCAGTGAGAAGGCGCCGGTTTCCGATGAGGTGGCGACCGAGGCACTCAAGTGGCTCGTGTTTGTCGAGCCACCGACAGCTAGGGCCCAGTACCTCCTTGGCACACTCTTTGAGCACAACGCCTTTCTAAACGTACCCTCAGCACTGCGCTATTACACGGCGGCTGCCCGAGCGGTGCGTTCAAGAGCCAATATGTACCGACCGTCCTGTATACGAAACGTAGGGCCACGGCGTGGCGGCGCAGCGTGCGGCGCAGCTCTACTACAGCGGTCACAAGGGCGCCGACGTGCGCAGTGAGAAGCGGCTCGCATTTGAAATGTACTTGATCGCAGCGCGAACCAGTCACGACGCCGAGTCGATGAACGCGCTGGGCCTCATGTACGAAGACGGCGAAGGCGTTGCCGTCGACATGACGATGGCGGCCGACTGTTTTCGCCAAGCGGCCGACCGGCAGAGCGCCCACGGCCACTTTAACTATGCCTGTCTCCTCCGCGCCGGCCGCGGTGTCGAGAAGGATGTGGAGGCGGCCAAACACCACTTTGAACAGGTGATGCAACGCTTTGTATCAAGTTGATACAAACCTGTGGTAGGCGCTCGCGCTCGGCTACGCCCAGGCCAGGCAATTTCTCTCAACAACGAAATAGCAACGGTTCAAATACGCTCTCAGTTGGGGAATGCTGTAACAGGGCCGCTCGAAGCTGTGACGTCGACGCGTCGCAAAACCATTTACCGCCCGCTCGCCCAGAGCTGTGGTGACGACGACCTCGGAGAAAACGGCCTTGAGCGTTTGCACACCGCACTCGTCGATGACGACCTCGTCCTACGAGACGACCCATCGGGATCTCATCGAGAGATCGGTCGGTCGCAGGCGTGAATCAAATCGGTTTACCATCCTCTCGGCGGGCAACCCCGCTGCCACGTATGCGAACTACAGACCCGTTGCTATTAGAATATACGACAACAGGCGGCCACAGGCGGTCGTGAATAAGTAGGCCGTGCCTACGAGGACACGAGGTCCGCGAGGTCGATCGATTCGAGGAACCCACGCAAGTCGGCGCTGAATGTTCGTGGACTAGACAACTTATTCACGTGCCATGGCGTTCGCGGGTCGCCGTCCTCATGTCGCGCGTCGGTGGGTGAGGCCATGATCCGGTGGCGCCAGCAGTCGAGCAGCCTCCGATGCGGCACTGACGGCCGCCGCCATGGCGCACGCACTTGTGGCGCAAGTGAGCGACGTGGTCACAGCCAACATGCGTGCACATCTCGGTGCGGACGGGCGATGTCGCATGCTGCGCGCAGTGCTGGGTGATGCGGGCGTTGCGGTGGCAGCCGTCGGCCGCACAGATGCGCTTGCCACCGTGTCGTACGCAGAGGTGGCGCGCGTAGACCTGGTTGTAGCACTTGGGCACTTGGCACTGGCGTCGGTGCTTGTGAAAGTCGCATTTCATCGTCATCGTTGGATTGCCACATCCGTTGAAGATGCACGTGGTCATCGCAATATTCGAGATTGACGTCTCGAATCCCAAACTCTTTTACTGCGAGGTAAAATACTACACGACGCACTTCGGGCGGGTTGTGGCTGGGTTTCGTCGACCTGGGACACCAAATGAACGCCGAGACAAGAAGGAAGACAAGTCATCGAGTTCGCCTTCCTTCGCATCGCCGAGGGCCCACGTGCGACGAGACGGGGCTTTAGGACCGCGTCTGCGTACAGTCGACACCAGCGTACAATGGCCCGAGGTGTGGTTGCTACTGCAAACCAACGGCAGCGCTGCAACGCAGGCACGAGACAACGCATCGGGAGCTCTTCGATGATCGAGTCGTGCTATGTCCTGTCCTGCAACCGAGGGTCGCATCCCACTCTCTCGGGTTGTAAGTGTCCTCTTCTGTGGATTTGGTATTCGTACGACACCGATTGCAGATACTATACTAATAGCAGCAACCTCGTGTGCGCCGTTGTGCTTGGTACCCTCGATCGATGCCATCTTCAATTTCTTCCAATGGTTTAGTCGAACTCTAGTTTTTTCTTACTTCTGTCCTGGCGTGATTGCGATACGCTTGACACCGAGCGCGTCCAGAGCGGCAACGCGGTCCGGCTGCGTTTGCCGGCGCACGTACGGCATG